TCCGACCAATATATTCAAGTTTTATCTGCTACAAAAGCTTATATAAGATTATTTTTAATAGAATTATGTATATAAAGTGGTTGAAGATCATATCATATAGTCTTTTCTCAATTTCTCTCTCTCTCTTTTTTTTTTTTTTTTTTTTTTTTTTTTTTTGCCTATTGTTGGGAGGAGAATAAAATTAAGGAGAAGAAAAGTTAGCCTTTTTGTTCATGGATAACGGCCAAATTAAACGTGTGGCATCCACAAAGTGACAAAATTAATTAGTCGTTTATACTATAAAGTATATACAAATGACTAGTTTTTCACGCGCATTGCATAACTGATTTAATGCCCAATATTTGTATTTAAATAAGTAATTTAAAGTATATTACTGTAACAGGGTGTTTGGTTGGAGGGATTTTAAATTCCCTTCCCACTTAATTCCAAAGACCATTAAATTCCGTAGTTTGGTTGGAGGGAATTGCAATTCTCCCATTTTCATGGAATTAAAATCCCATGCCCCCCCTGGTATTTTAATTCCTGGGAAAAAAAGATAGTGATGGGTCAAAATTACCCCTTCCTTTTTAACCTAAAATTAATGTCTAACAACAATAATGGACATTTTTGACTTTATACTACTTATTCCCTTTCAATTCCCATGTATACCAAACATTGGAATTGAAATTCCCAGTAATTTTATTCCTGCCAACCAAACATTGAAATTTAAATTCCAACTTTATTTCCAGTAATTCAACTCCCATGGAATTACAATTCCTTTCCCACATAATTCCCTCCCTCCAACCAAACGCCCTGTAAGATTATATAAGAGAAGTTCATTATAGTTGACATTAAAATTAATGTTTAATTTGCACTTAAAAAATAGGGAAAATGGCACTTTTTCCCCCTGAGTTATATACCTATAGCATTTTTTCCCCCTAAGTTATTGAAGTGGCTGTTTTTCCCCCTGAAATGTTAAATGGACATATTTACCCTTAAACTAAATATTTAATTTATTTTTTTCTCCAACAAATTATGACTATAATTTGGTTCAAACTAAACAAACACTATAGCAACCAAACCGAAATATTCCAATTACAATTTAGAATCGAAATTCGATATTTAGAGTTTATTAAAATCGTAAACCGGAACGGACGGTTCATGTTCCGAAAAAAAATAAAATACATTTATTGTTGAAAGACTATTTTAAAATAAAAAATAAAATTTTAAAATAAAGACGGTTCAAAACCGCGAATCAGATCCGGAACCGCTGGTTCACGGTTCAAGATTCAATTTTTTGATACATAATTTTAATAAGTTGACATTTAAATATTGGGTTCTAGATCTGAATTATAACCGTAAACTATTAATTCGATTGCTTTAGAATCCGGTTCAATTCAAATCGAACCGTGGTCATCCCTACGTATACGCAATAATTTGTTGGAGTAGTAAAATAAATAAAATGTTTACTTTAAGGGTATAAATGTCAATTTAATATATCAGGGGGGGAAAAGCACCACTTTTAGAATAATTGAGGGGGCTAATGTGCTTACCTAAATAATTGAGGGGGGAAAAGTGCTATAAGTATATAACTCAGGGGTAAAAAGTGCCATTTTCCCTAAAAAATATTATTTAAATACTTATTGTATTTGCTATGGTATTAAGTAGTTGATACTACTTTTGGTTGGAACTACTCTAAGTTTTGTTAATTCACTTTTAGATATGTTTGTCATTGTCTTCGTCTTCATATTGCTTGCCCATTTTTTTTATTGGTTGTCTCATATGCAATTGGGTTACTGGTGCTAGTTTACAAAAAAAAAAAAAAATTAAAATTTTAAAAAAAATTGGTCTAATTAGTTTCCTCCCTAAGTGTGCTTAATTAAGGTGCGTGGTTTGTACGTGTACTTAAGATGCACCATTTTAATGCTTAAGGTGCGTCAACCGCACAACCACACAGGAACACTTCTCCCCACCTGAAGTGTGCACTGTGTAAACCCAACTTCTAGCCTGCAAATTACATATGAGTGGCAAACCGCACTAGAAAGATCTTATATTATACGATGAGTTTGGCCGAGATAAGTAACTGATAGATTCTCTCTCAATTGAATTACCTCTCCCCTATGGTGGCGGGTATGCTGATCCACCAGAAGGAAGAAAAAGAAGTCTTTTTGGTTGACTTATGACCTTAACCCCCTCTGTCCTCCTTCGTCGTGTGCGCCAGCCTTTTTTTCTGTCTATTCTTGATCGAACTCCCTCCCTGTCATCATATCTTGTGCTGATTCTCTTCCTCCAAGCAGTAAAGCAGGAAAGGCTAAGAGTAAGAGCCAACAGAGAGAGCATCTGTATAATGGGGTTCGTCATTTATTGACGGATTCATGTTGAAAATAATTGAACTTGTAACACTCTGATACAAAAATTATGCTCCACCTGCTTGAGCACCCTTTTGGGGCAAAAATGCACTTATCATTAATTGCAAGGAAGAGGGCACCTCATACACCCCATCAAATAGTGACTACGATATTTTCTCACCATAGATAAAAATCTTATTTTTAAAAAACACAAAATAGAAACTCCGACCTATCCCTATGGTTGGTTGTTATACTACTCCAAATTGCCCTAATATTTTTATTTATTCACCCTCCCACGTGTAATATAATATATGCTGCAAATCAAATATTCCTGCATATAGAAATGCATGCATGTACGTATATATGTATGCATTTCATTATTTTGAACTGTAAGTATAAATCAAAAAAACTTTAATTTAGAGGAAATTTTAGGTTTGTAGACACTAAGTCTTTCTTATTCAACTTTTGGGTTGTACCATGATACCATCCTACCAGGTGTAAGTGCTTAATTAACCATTGTTTATTTCTCATCATGTGCACCTTGAAATTTTATTATGAGATTTTTTGCAATATCTTATATAAAAATGGAAAAATTGATGTTTTTTGGTAAAAGTAAAATTTTTTGTTTTCCAATTATATTTGCCGACACTTTTCATTCCTTAATTGTCTATGAAATGACTTTTTTCGTCCCTTAATGATATTATGGTTAGATTAAAAATATAATTTCATATGGCAAAAATTTCTCTGTAGACAATTGAAGAGAGATAAATGTCGATAGTATAATTGGAGATGCAAAATTTTATTTTCCTATAATTCAAGGACCTAGAGTGTAAATGGCATGTAAGTAGCCTAATGCTCAGGGGTCCAAGTGAAATTAATCAATTATTATTGTAATTACTTCGTAAATAAAATATTCAAGGCCGCGTTTGGAGCACAAAAAGCGGCTTTTATGGGGAGTTTCGACTCAGTAGTGTACTACTAGCGTAAGCTACGGGCCCGAGACTGATGTCATTTTCTTGCCTGTAAAATTGCTGGGGTAAAAGCTCCTATTAATTATGAAAAGTACTGTTTTTCCGGAAAAAAAGTTTATTTTATTTTTATTGATTACTTACAAAATTAATTAATTTTTATTGTGAACTAATAGAGCATCTGGTAATATTAAATACAAAAAATAATATAACAGTTGATTGTGTGTGAGGTTTCATAATTAATATTATTTAAACAAAAATGTAATATATATATATATATATATATATATATATATATATTTGAAAAACACGTAATATATTTCTATAGTTCAATCAAAATTACATATTTTTATATAAAGTATTAGATATTTAAGATCCATAACAATAGCACAACATAGTACTTCATAAATATTAAAAGTAATTTTAGTAGAGAAATATAATATAAAAGGGGCAACCAATTAAGTTTGTAAAAAATTGACTATTGACCTTCTTAGTTTGAGCTAGTCATTATAGACAATCTATGTTAGTTTATCTTTTTAAGAACCTTTATCGGAAAGCTATAAGGTATGTTTTTTTTTACTATGCACAAAAAATCAAACAAAAATAACATCTCTAATATTATTTAGTAACTCATAGTTTATTAAGTTCCAAATTGGATTCAATTACTATAAAGTAAATAGTTAGTGAGAGAGGAAAAAAAAAAAAAAGGAAGAGAGATAATGACATAACAAATCGACCCAATAAATAAATATGAACGACTTTAATCAAGAAGGCAAATAAATGCTTTGGGTGAAGCCAGCTAGACTAATTATGTCATTTTTTTTTGGTGTAAACTACAATGTGGTCCGGGTCTTTCTCTGCACAAAAGCTGACCCAAAGAAAATTGTCACTTGAGGGAATCAAACCCAAGTTATTTTGGAATTCCCTCCCACAAAGAAAGCTCTACCACTTGAGCTACCTTATTAGGTTGATTGTAACATTTATAGTCATACACATCATCTATCATATGTATGTAACATTATTATAGAATGTTGAGCGAGTTAAGAAATGTATAACTTTATTATAAAACTAGGAAAAACTGAGATTCTAGGAATCACCGTACAAATTAACGCGTAATTTAATAGTCTGAAGATGCTTTGGTCTTCTTCTATTGTCTGACTTTCCAAACAAAATTATAAGGACTCACCCCATCATTTGCTCCATCTACCCTTTCCTCCCCATCAACATTGTTTCAATCAATTACACATAAATATGATTACTTCTTCCTCAATATAATTAAATCATTAAAACATATTAACAAAATTATTGACAACCCAACCAAGTTGGTCAAACTATTAACTTAGTATCAATAAGATTCTAAGTTCTACTCTCATAAAAGTGACCTATTAACTCTTAGTTTGAACCGATCAATTATGAATAAATTAGAGTAATTTACCATTAAATAGTGACTGCAATTTCCTTGTTACTCACTAAAATGATAATAATAATAATAATCCCGAACATTTTGTTCCTTGTTACTATTCAGGTATTGGAATGGGTCAGCAGTAAGACTGGCTTTTGTTCCTTGATTCTTCAACTATAATTCCATTGACCGTTGACTGGTCTAACAAGTATAAAGTGGACCCCATTTTCAATGGTCAAACTTCTACCATGTGGCATCCACGGCGGATGGATCAACCTCCCTCCCCTCCCCTATATCTTCCTCCCTCCACTGCTCCCCATTCAAATGCAACAACATTAATTGTTTGTTTCCTTTGTACTTGCATGCTTTAACTGAAAAACCTGTGGTTTCATCGGCAATCTGTCGGAGGGATTCAGGTTTCGGGTGGCCTTTTTTTCTGTTCTTGACATGGAGAACTTCGCCGGCGACCGGGACTTGCAGAGCCTGATAACTGAGCTGGCGAATGGGAGGGAGGCTGCTACGCAGCTCCAGATGATCCTTAATGCTCCTTCACCGTTTTCTTCGGAAACTCGGGAGTTGTTGGTTCATAATGTCCTGGCTTCCTACGACAAGGCGCTCGGCATGCTCAACTACTCGCCGGAGAGCACTCAGGTCCAGCCGGCGGCGGCGGCTGGACCTGCATTTGGAATGGAATCTCCGTCTTCGTTTACTGGCAGTCCTCATAGCGAGGATTCTGACCGCGAGCATGATGGGTCTCGGAAGAGGTACGCATTATATTTCTAGTATTTCGATCGTGATTGTTAATCCCGACATGGAAACTTATTACGTTGTTGTGGTGATCGAATTTGCAGAAATGCGCCGCGTTGGACGCAAAAGGTTCAGGTTTGTCCCGGGTCGGGGCTTGAAGGGCACCTTGATGATGGGTATAGTTGGAGAAAGTATGGGCAGAAAGACATTCTTGGAGCAAGATATCCCAGGTTAATTCAAACTGTCATAGTTTTACTCCAACTTACTATACGTTCTTGATTTCTTTGTCCAAAAAAAATACAAAATCCCTCACCCCATATTAATTAGATAGTCACCCTCACATAATGGTGAAATTCTAAGTTGTCATGATTTAATTTTCTGTTCTTGCCCAGAATCTATTATTCAGGAATCAACTGAGTTACTATTGTTACTTAATTGTTGATTTCTTAGGGATACTAATTGAAGTTGTATTTTGATATGTATTTGCAGAGGCTATTACAGATGCACTTATAGGCATGCCCAGGGCTGTTTGGCTACCAAACAGGTTCAGAGATCCGATGAGGATCCGACCATTTTTGACATAACTTACCGTGGAAGGCACACCTGCAACCAGGGCGGCGGCAACCCAAATCCGCCGCAGCCACCGCAAATCCCGCCGCAAAATCAAGAACCAACGGAGAGCCAACGGGGTATTAGCCCGTTCAGCCAACAAGGCCAGCCATCGGAAACTCTCTTGAGTTTCTGCAGACAACTCAGAGTTGAAACCAGCAATTTGGACAACACTCACCAAGAGAATCAGCAGCTCACTTACTTATACAGCTTCCCTTCAAGCTCCGACCAGAGTTACAGTTTCCGGCCACCGTCGGTGCTGGACGGCGGCAACTTTTCATGGAGCATTTCGCCTTCCTTTGGCTCCCCTGCTTCCACCTCTGAGTCCAGCGACTTTGGCCGTCGTCCCCGGCAGACAACAACGGAAGCTCAGCCGACTAGCACTACCAACACCGGGATTATTCCGGCAGTTTCAGCCGCGAATTCCCCCGCCGTTGATCCGGGATTCGCTTTTGGCACACTGGGTTTCGACTCAAACTTCACCTTTGATAGCCATGGATTCTTTCCAAACCACTAAATAAAAGCTGCACTAAATTAAACAATCATATCCCTGCATGCAATGCATCTTTGGATCATTGACAGCTGGGATGAAACTTAGTCCTCGTTGCAGAGATGGATGATGAAGAAAGTTCAATGCAATTTAGCAGCAGTTACTTAGTCTATGCTTAACCAATTCAGTTGATTCTTGACTCTTGAAGCTCATTGTTGGACTTTTTGTTTTCTTTTGTTTCTGTTTTTGTTTTTGGTCTGGTTCAAGTGACCTGTAATACTGTAGAAGTGGAATAGTAAAGTGATACTGTCCAAACTTATCCTGTGAAGTTTAGCGAACTTGTACAACATCCAATCATATAATACACTAATAAGTTAATAACTTAGCTATCAAATATCTCATGGTCAAGCAATATAGTTGTGACTCTTTAGATGAAAAGTCATATTTTGTACCCAGTAAAAAGGGCATTAATTCTTTTTCTGCTTTAATAACTTAAGTTTTGCTACAATATTAGTATATAAGATTTGATTTTTTATTGTTCTGAAATTGTTGGATGTTTTGAATATCAACGTATAATTCTTTTAGAAACTTGTATACCATTTTTTGTCAAATCTCTAACATACCTTATTATTATTATTATTATTATTATTATTATTATTATGAAATTATCTATATCAAAAAGTACTATTTACATATTTAGCTAATCTTGACATAATTTCATAGCCCTCGATATTCATTGCATGCAAATTCGAGAAGTAATGGATCCTACTAAGAGTTAGAGCTTCTTTGACAATCAGCGGTTAGCGGTTAACGGATTGTATTAGTAGTGTCGTAATGAAACTACGTATATTGTGCATAAAATGAAATTGAATATCAAGCTAGTCTCAAATATTGAATGTATAATATATTATTAAATAAAATGTAGTTTAATTAGAATGATACTTTGGTGGTACTGTAATTAAATTAATTACCGTGTGTATAAAATGAAATTGAATAACATATCTCACATATTGAGTGTATATTGTTAAATGAAACTATAGTTGAATAATAATGATATTTTAGCGGTACTGTAATGAAATTATATTGTACAGTATAAAGTGCAATTGAATATCATGTCTCAAATATTGAATGAATAGTTAAATTAGAATGATATTGTTGTGTTACTGTAATGGAAATACAATGTGTATAAAATGAAACTGAATAATGAGAGAGGTTGCTACATAAAGAATAACGAGATTTACCATATACTATTATTAATAGAAAAAATTAAAACGACACCATTTTGATGATGATTGATGTGAACCACGATCCACTGTAAAATTTACCCTGTTTTGGATGTTACGGCTTACGGACAAGGCAAATTATATCGTGTACCAGGGTGCAGTGCACAATGCATTGTGTACCCTAAGAGTTTGTATTATGTTAAGAGCTCATGTGTATTATGTTAAGATTATGTGTATTATGTTAGGAGTTTATGTGTATTATACTATACAATTATGTACATACGAAATATAAGATTTTTAAGGCACAATGCATTGTGCGTTGGTGCACGATATAACAATTGTACGGACAAAAGAGTAACATGCCGCAAATTATGTTGTGGAAACGTGTTCACCATGTGCACGGTGAACACATGGGTAGATCCATAATTTCTATGCTGTAGATTCATAATTTTTGTTTTCATTTGTTGTTAACGACGTTTCTCTCTTCGCAATCGCATTATTTCGTTTTCGCATTACAGATATTATGAATCAACAGTACATAAATTATGAATCTACAGTATAGATATTATGAATCTACAATATAAAAATTATGAATCTACAACTTAGAAATTATGAATATATCCCGTGTTCTATCATGCGCATGGTGAACACGGTTCCACAACATAACTATTGGTAACTTGCGTTGTCGTTTTCTGAGCTGAGCCCGTTAAAAACGGGGCTTTAACAATTTTGGGCTGGTACTGGTACGGCCCTAAAGCAATCACAAGGCCGTAACGCAACAATTTATTGCTTGCAGGTTAGGTTACAGTCATCATGCACTAATCATGTCCTAATCTGCATATATTTTAAATTACTACGTACAACTTTTATTTTGTTTGCAAGCATTAAATCATATATAGACACATCACTAACAATGTTCTCTCTCTTTTTTTTTTTTTTTTTTTTTTTTTAAAGGTGAATTTTAAGCCATCAGTCTTAGTTTTTTTGTCAGGCTACGAGGTGTTTTAAGCAAACCCTAACGATAGGAGGCACCTTTAAGCCCGTTACATCGATTTTTAGTTAAAGTGAAAAAATGACAGTTTTGACCCACATGTTTAATTCCTACCAATTTTCATCCACAATTATTATTTTAGTGCCAAAATTCATCTATAATTTAAAATTATTAAAAGTATTTTCGTCTTTTCATAATTAAGATCACAATTTGATTGTAAATAAAGAGATTTAAGACTTAAGAATCCAATTCGCCGCTCTCCTCCACATCCTTCTTAACTCCTCTCATAATTGCGTTTTCAGAGCCAAACCGAGAATGGTTGTTAGTGGCCACCAACTTTCTGAAAATAAGGAGCGAGAGATCTGCTACTTACTACTCACAAAAACATTGGACACCTATACTATAGTAAAGTCGTTTTAAGAAGGATGATAAGAAGAAGGACGAATTGGGTTCTTAGGGTTTAAATCTGATCCCTTTATTTATGTTCAAATTGAGATCTTAATTATGAAAAGATGAAAATATCTTTAATAATTTTATATTATAGTTGATTTTTTACACTAAAATAATAGTTGTGGATGGAAATTGATAAGAATTAAACAAGTGAATCAAAATTGTCATCTTTTAATACTTGTGGGACCAAAATTGATATTTACCAGCCAAAGGCTATATATGGGGGTGGGGGAGGGGGGAGTGGGGCAGCTGCTCCCACTGCCTCCACTGGAGCTCTGCCCCTGACATTCATAGTATGTAGGTTTTGCTCCACCTTCTCGGACACATGGGAATTTGATGGGGGATGAGAGTGGGAATATATTTCTTCCCCCTACAGGTATAGCGAACGGGATAGAGTTTCGAGGATGGGAAGTATATTTCCTACCCCATACCGCCCCATACCATATCTTTTTCAATTCCAGTTCCAAATACATATGCTAGGGTGCACATAATTAAGTTATCGTGTCTAGTTTATTGTAGTCAAATTATAATATCTAAATGAATTTTATCAATTTATTGAGACTTAATTGGATTAATCTTATCTCGTGAGGCGTGAATAGTGAATACCAATATAGTATAAAATTAAAAAAAAAAAATTATAATATGCTACAATATGTTCACATTTCAAAATAAGGGAAACATTTATATTATAATATAATTAAAGTTAACATTGTATTACAATCTAAACATAACGTACATAATGCATGTAGCTATCTGTGGTCTGACGACTAACATTATAATATACCCTGCAGTAAATTTAATTTTCTACCCACATCTCCTTTATTATCTCTTTCAAAAATCCAGGAGAGAGAGACAGATAGAGAGAGAGAGAGTTAAGAACTTTGGACATGCATGTACTGGAAGATGAAGCTAGCTAGCTACATAGCAATTGAATCTTCAATTCAGTGATGAGGAGACTACTTAGTTTTTTTTTGGGTGACGAGAGAAACTCGCAATTACTGTTTACTTTTCGTCTTGTGACCCTAGCAGGCAAAGGACTGAGGAGGCTACTCAATTAGCAGAATGTTTGCTGGATTTGTTGAGCCAATTCTTCCGCACTCAGTTGGCATTCAATTCCAATCTACCAAATAAACATAACCAATATAATAATCATCAGATTTAATATAATTAACAAGGTTGTGTTTAAGGTTGTTTGAATTGAAGGTACTGCTAATTACTGTACATAAGAGTGTCGTACTAAGTTTGTTCAATTCCACAGTAAATAATAAGTGGGAAATAGTTGTTCCTTGATTTCAGTGAAATTAGTAGTTAGGTCTTTCATGGCGTAGCTATCTCTTACATATATAGCAATGTTGCAGTGTTCGTACTCTGCTTCTATGTTGATGTAATGAATCTGAAATGATTTCTGGGTTTTCTTTTTTGGGGTAAAATTACAAAGTTTTCCTCATTTCTTGCTGACAAGATAAAGTGCGGGCAGTAATTATGGTTAATTTAAGCTAGTTTGGAGTTATTAAGGTTGAAGAAGATATAATTACTACCCAATCAAATTAGTTATTCTTTTAATTTGATAATCATAATAATGTTACAATTCTCACTTTTATTGGGAGCAACCTATTAACTGGACAACTAAAATTGATTTACTTGCTTCTATAACAATTAGAATAACAAGACAAGATTTACAGATATACACCTTATCTAGTGACCGGTAAGATTTTCGCCTGATGCAAGTTAACTAGCTAGACTTCTAAGTAGTTTGGTTGTACGAATAACTAGAAGTTGATAGTCAACAGCACCTTCAGTACTTCGGTTTTGAGTCAAGTATGAGACAAAAATGGCTAAGGGTTTCGTTCAAGAGGCAACACAACAAGATTAACTACGACTGGAGATCAACGCTATTTAGCTTTGGCTACTATGAAATCAGATTTCTCGTGGATTATTATTCAGTATCCTTAGATTATTTAGAAGGTGGCTGCTAGTTTTTTGGTAATTCAAAAAGAAGAAATAATTACGTACCTTAATAGTGTAGGAATTAAGGGAGGTATCGTCATTAATGGTGCTGATGCTGACATGGAGAATCTCGAGGGCGAGGTCTTCAAGTGCAGAAATGATCTTCACGGCTTGGCCGGGAATGCGCGGAGAAACCGTCTTTAGGATCACATTCGACCCGGAGAACTTCACCTCCACGTCGGCAATCGCCGACGTGGAGTTCGCCGCCAGCTCGTTGGCGCTGTCAATGGCGGAAGTGGAAGACGAAGAAGCCGCCGCAGGCTCAGAAATGGTGGTTGCAGCAGCAGGTAAGAGGTAACCGGCGGCGGCAAGTGACGGCGGCGGTTGCAGCCTCGTACTGGTACTTGGATTTGTGGGTTTGTACGGAGAGGTTGGTTGCGGCGTTCTTGGGCTTATCGGCGGCAAGCTTAACCTCGGACTCAAAGGTGGTTTTCTTGGACTGGGTGACAGTATTCTGGGACTTAGAACTTCGCTACTGTAAGCTTTTCTTTGCTTCTTCGTCTCCAAAGATTGAAGAATCTGCTGCAACTCGTTTATGTAATCCACAACTCCTTCTATGATTGATGCTTGGTCACCCTAATGTTCAATCACAACAACATTAATTATCTCCGATCCAAGGTCTCAAGATTAATTATATGTATATATATATGCGTACCC